TATGAAGCTAATTAGTGAAATCGGTGGGGCATCCCGGAGCTACCCGCGAGTACCGGACCGGAAACCGCTGGTTTGATTATGACCACCTCCCAAAACTGATGAGGACGAAGACGAGAAGCAAATCATTATTGTCCTTAAGTGAATTCAGTTTTTAAATTATTGCAGTTTCCTGGAATATTATAAGCGTTGTCATTGGCAATGTCACATTCATCGCTAATATTGTACACAATACGCATTATTTTACGTTACCGTATGTATGCTGACACATGAGTAGGTATTTACGAGTCAAATAACAAAGATGTAAAGTATAGTACTTACCGAAGTGAATCACAGCTGTGTTGCCAATGGTATAAGTATTTCCCGCTCTAATGGCCTTTTGGTATAGAAATCACTGAGCTACACATCACCAATACAATGCTGCGAATGTTCGGGGCGTTGCTTATTCACTTCTTCATCAATCATCAAATAATACTGTCATATCGACTAATGTTTCCGGAATTCAAGGTTATTGTTTCAAGTGTTTTTTTTTGTTCTCTCGTACTTAAATTTGCCACATTTCAACTTTGAAAACGTATTTTATTTAACTTCAATTTTCCACATTTCAACTTTGAAAACATATTTTATTTAACTGCAATGTCTTCTCTGTGATTCTACTCTCATGTAACCAATCGTTTCATTTGTTTCAGATTCTCGTCTGATATTGTAATTGTTTAACAACATTCTTGAACTGTACAAGTTTGGAAATGTTATTATGTATTTTTTAATGAATTCGCTCAACATTTTCGGTCGTAAATATATATTATCATCATAATCATTACGTTCCTTCTACGTAATTTTATTTGGCAAACGCTGTTTTTAAGAATGAAGATAGTTTTATTGAAGAGCATCTAATTTTTCATATGTCTGCGAATTACGCATACAAAGGCTTTGTGTGTCAATGTTGTTTCGCTTAAGTAAGTAAGTTGACTATATACCCTACGTAATTGAATATCACGTGCAGCTAATGGTAGTATAACACTCAATTATGTTTTTGTATTTTAAATACAACTGTTGTTGTAGAAACAGTACAACCTCAAAAATGATACCCAGGGAATTTTCTATGTTATTGAACAAGCATATCTTTAAGACATCTAAGAATGACATGTTTCCAGAATTATTGTTCGACTAAGATATATCCATGTTTGAAGACCACACATTAGTATTTGTTGCATGAATACACATGTATGCAGTGATTGCTATTTTACATACTAAAACAACTTAGTGTACAGCATATTATTTTGTCATCGAACGAAAACTCGATTTGTGTAAGAACAGCGTTTCGAGTTGTGATAAATCATAGTCCATATTGCATTTTTAAGGTCTAAAAATATTGCATTTGTCACCATTATGTGATGCAGTAAAACGATTATATAAATGTTGAAACAAAGCCTGAATCGGATATCGTATGTGGCAACGGAAAGGAAACATATGTGTAAATACAGCCGCACACTGCTCGCCGAGACATGCTCGAGATTTGACCCATCCCAACTCAATTGAACAGTCCAGTCTTTGTGATTCTTAGCACAAGTTCACCAATTACTTTGCGTCTTTCAACTACGTTTGTTTACATAACATCCAGTCAAAACTAAAAATCGAAGCAATAAATATATATTTTTGGTCACGGGAACGTGTACTTGTACTGCAAAAAGAACCCAGAACATGGTTCTTGAAACACAATAACATGACCAGGTTCAAAACTACTGGAACACCAATGAGTGCCCCACCATCATTCTCCACTCTGATGCGGAAAAATCTAATAATAAAATGATATCGATATTTTTACCATTTCAACTGATTTAACTTTGAACGAAAGTGTTACCACGAAGTAAGAGAAAGGTGAATATATACATATTATATCGTGTCATAGGCGTACTAAAAAACCTACATTTTGTTTTAAAACAATTTATTTCAATTAACTCTTCGCAGCCGTTTAAATGGCATTTACAACACAGAAAATGTAGCAGATTGGCCCTAAGTTGACGCCATTAGTTATGTTTCATCCTGGGTGAAATGATGATAAGACAAGCATGTTGAATGCAAGTCAGCTGTGGTCAGTCAGTCGTAGCAGTGTGTGGCACAAAGTCGTGAAAGTTAGACTTAAATAAAGACTGAGCTAATCTGTATGCAACTGGGCGACGATTTTGTGTACTTTGATGGGATACGTTGGAGCATGTAGAGCCGAACAGTGTACAGGGGCTTAACTCATCGCATGAGTTAGGTCTGATTTCGTACACCTAAGTTGTGATAAGCAACCATAAATGCACGAGGTAGAATGTCGGCTGTGTGTAATAGTATGTTCACAATTGTAAAGCACAGTACGAAGGGTTTTGTATTTTCTGTCATTTGCTCATTGATAACTGAACATAATAAATCTATTTGGCCTGTTATAGACAATATTAGACTTTA